TGGGGCCAAATAGGGGAAATAGAGGTAAACCTTTAAAATCGTTCTTCTATCATAGGAATTAAGGAATTTTATCCTTATATAGACTGAAGCATCCTTGGGCCAAGGGGAATCAATTTTGTATCAAACAAATTGAATTACGACCCACTTTATAGATATGAGATTTTTTTACAACATCATTGATCAACATTAAACAACCGGGACCTGGTGTACCTTTCAAACTAGTCGGGCATGGAACTCTTTAAGGAAAGAGGTGAAATTCATAGTGTGGAGCTCTTTTGTGAAAGCAGGTTTATTTCACAGGGTGGAACTCTTTTGGAAAGGAGGTTAATTTCACAGGGTGGAACTCTTTTGGAAAAAAGATACATTTTGTTTATATTATGAGAAGTTCTTTTTACACAACCAATAAAACATCTATGACCAAGTGTTAACAAAGCGTAGCTGAATTGAGTCATTTCGGTACAACTATTGTAAAATACGTTTCCAGCGTAGCCAAAATCGACATCGTTTTTATTGACAACTCGTACACATTTTACACCTTTGTGTGCATACGCTTCATTGGTGATTTGTCTGATGAAGGTGACAGTGTACATATCGTACTTAGTCATCGAAACGTCACATAGAAAATGTTATTGGTTGTGTAAAAAGAACTTCTCATAATCCATACTTACCAACCTGAAGAAAATGTTTAGAAATATCCGAACAAATTACAGACAAGATATTGTCAAAGATGTGTGGAAATTAGAGAGCCTAGAAAAGAAATTAGCGAGACACAGAAATCACCTGTTGTTTACGCTGAGATGCAGAGACTTGCATATAGCACCTTCAAGTCTGAATATTAGGTGCCCAGTCAAAACTATAAATGCTAGAAATATAATCAAGAAAGCACAGAAAGATCTATTGAAAGAAAGAATACGGGATGTTAACAACAAAATAGACTCATACAAGCATGACATAACAGTACTGAATGTAACTGACTGAACGCTTATCGAGTGACACTGTAGGGGATGTGAACAAACACATGAAGCGTATAGATGAACGAGCATTGACACAACTAAACAACGCCACTTGACTAAACTAAACCGTCTTGTAGAAAAATCAACACCACCCAACACCAACACAGATGCAGCTCTGAATGATTCTATGCTAAAAAAATGGATAGTCAACATCTCTAATAAGGAGCTCACCAGTAGCGAGAAAACGTTACTCGCTAAGGGTATGAACTATGCCATCGTTCCAGATAAAATCCCAGTTGATGTTTTTGTTATATCCACAGAACAGGCATGTAAGAAACTTAGCTATGCAGAGGCTGATCAACTGAGATCCCAAGTAACGGGGGTTTTGAAATCTGCGAGATTACCAACAAGTAACATGACGAAAGAAGAACGGGTCGCACTCCAAACATTAGGCAGAGACAAATCTATTACCATATTACCAGCTGACAAGGGGAAGGCAACAGTTGTCATGGGCACAGAAGACTATGAGGCCAAGGTCACAACAATGCTACAGGACAACAAGACATATGAACAGCTGCAGACCAATCCAACCCAAAAGTTTAAAAGGCGTCGCATAGCCCTAATATCATAATTAAAACCAGAGAGCAATATTACCGAGGGCCAATACAGATATTTGTATCCCACAGCAGAGAACACTCCTAGAATATACTGCACACCCAAGATCCACAAGCAAGGAAACCCACTGAGGCCTAGTGTGGACTACACTGGATCCATTGGTTACAATGTTTCCAGATCATTAGCAGACATTCTTGGACCGCTAGTTGGTAAATCGGAACACCATGTTAAGAATTCAAAACATCTAGCAGAAGCGTTGTCTACCATCATGATTCAGGAAGACGAAGAATTCATTTCACATGATGCTGTCTCTCTCTTTA